TTTCTGATGAAGGGTCTAGGCCCGAAACATCAGCCTTTCTGCTCCTATGATGCTGCTTGGCCTGCTGTGTTCATCCAGCTCTGCACCTTGTTGTCTCGGCAAAATAGCTAAAGTTTGGTTGAGTAATACGAAACAGAGTAATGTTCAAAAGATGCTTTTTGGACTGAAGGCAGGTTTGTAGTGGGGTTCCCCAAGGATCTGTATTAGGACCATTGATCTTCCTGATCTATAATAATTATTTACTTCTTGTTGCATTGGGGACAATTTCAAAGTTTGTGTGAATGATCCAGACTCGAAAACATTGTAAACTGTGAGGAGTGGAGAATGTCAAAAGGAGTGGATATGCTGGTGGAACGTGTCCATACCTGCCAATGAAGTTCGGTGCAGAGACATGTGAGGTGGTACATTTTGACAGGAACAACATGGACAGAAAATATAACATGAAAGATAAATTTCTAAAAGGGATGCAGGAGCAGAGAGACATGGGAGTGCAGAGCATGTGGATAGAACAGTTAATAGGTATACTTTATCCTGGGATTAATTAACAGGGGTATAGAGTACAAGAGCAAGGAAATAATGCTAAACTGTAAGATGCTTATCAGACCTCAGCTGGAGTACTGTGTACATTTCTGGCTGCCATACTTTAAAAATCATGTGACTGCATTAGAGAGAATGCAAACAAGATTGTACTGAAAAACCAAGCACACAATGCTGCTGATTTGACTTCAAGAACAAACAGGAGTTCATTATGCAAAAGGAATGAAGATAAAATAGAATAAACCAAGCTGTTTACATGTAACACAATTTGAAAGATTTTGAAACATACGGTAAAAGTATAATCCCATATACCCCAACACTGTCACATTACAGCACTCAAATACTAGAGAGATTTCCATTCTGTATCATACCTATTGGTTTTTCTTTCACTTTCTAAATTTGGAAATTTGACAACATCTTCCCTGAGTATTTGTACAATAGTGCTCAGACTTTCTCAGTTTCAAACAACCCCTTCAAGTTTCTGACCAAACACTTCTGGTCTGGAACAGTCAAACTAAAATCCTTATACTAAGGTAACCTATTTCTTAACTTATCCGAATGAACACCTTTCTCTAAGGAAAAACTGTTTCATACATCTAACTTCTACCAGGGCATTAGTGAATTGTCACGAGAAGCTTTCCAAGCTGCAGGCTTTCTCCCCCTTAAAAAAAATCTCCATTCATCTAAACTGTAAACAAGCGACTACCTTTCCTTTACTCAATATCAAAATGCAAACAAATTCTCTTTATCATCCCAGGGACATCTTCTCTCATACTGAAATCTCATTGCTTCAGATATGGTAACAAACTAATTATTAAAAAACCATAAACATATGAAACTCCACATGCCATTTGTTCACAATCCAAACTCAAAAATAAATTATATTGATATACGTTTATAAATCACAAACTCACATCACACCTTCCCCCTCGAAAGGGGAATGAAAATAAATCTTTAAGAGGCATTTTCATTACCCATCAAAAATAATCTTAACACTGTTTCTATGTCATGTCAATAGTAGAAATATATTGATGTAAAACATGCAATGAGTTACATAGCAACCACAATTTACATAAGTCCACGTGCTCCATAGCTCTCATTCCTTGATAAAGCATACACTATATCATTTTATTTTCTAGGCACATGAACAATTTTCAAATTATATGGGTGGAAAATTAAGCTCCACTGAAACAATTGTCAGTTTTTGTCCCAAATTTTTTTTACAAGAAAATCGAAGGATTCTCATATACATAAATAACAATTTCTTACATATTGTTGGTGTATATTTCAAAGTGATGAGCAGCCAACATCAGACTCTATGTCTCCTTCTCACTCACTAACCTTTTGATGACATGGTTAGTTTCTTTGAAAACTGATAGGTTGTTCAAATCCCCATCTCATCCTCTTGCAGTAAACCAGTCCTACATCACTGTCGTTGGCATCAACACCATTTGAATGGCTTGTCATAATTCGGCATGGCTAAAACTGGCACAGTTGTCAGCACATATTTTAAGTTATTGAAGGTACTCTGACAGTCCTGCATCCATGCAAATTTTCTGCCTTCCTTCAAAACATTTATTTAAGGTGTAAAAATGGTGCTGAAGTTTGTGACAAACTTGTAAAAGAATCCATTGATGACAACATCAAACAAAATTTCAAGTTCATCCTAGGCATAGGAAAATCCAAAACAGCCCTTCTCCAGGTGCTACCTGGCTCAAATTACTCCTATCTGCCTTGGGATTCACTCTTAGCCAGATTTACAACAAAATTCACTTGCTGCAGTCAAACATTTCAGTCAAGAGAGTTTAGTTTTGAATAGCTTGAATGAGTTGGACTAAAGGGCCTGTTTCCATGCTGAATGTCACTATGACTCTATAAATGGTGCTAAAAGAAACTAACTCATCAATATAGACATCGCAGTTATACCGAGCTGAATCTGAAGACCCTGAACAATGTGGGCTATGGTGAGAAATCTGGGAGAATTACAAGAGAAATCAGGCAAGACTTTTCTCAGCAATGGGAGCAACTAGTTGCATTTTCAAAGAGTTTCAGATGTCAAGACAGATTCTTATAGGTAGTGGTGAGTTGTCTTAAAGGAGGGTTAATACTTGTTAACAGTCTTATTCATTGAAAATATCTTGTCATTAATATGCAGCTTTCTGTCATACCTCCCGTTGCAAGGAAACAAGACACCAACAATTCTCGACATGGAGGTCAGAGCAGATTTTGGTTTGTCACTTGCTATTCCAGGTCATCATCTTGGACACTGGCACCAACATCTCAGGACTCACACAATAGGCAGTGACCACAAGGTCTTGCCCATGAACATGAGTATCCGACATGAGCGAATCTCCCA